GGCCGCTGTGCTCAGTGTGAGTCGCCGTATCTCTCCGCGCAGTTTCAACGTGGGCCGCCTCGCGCTCGCTTCGCGGGCTGTTGGTACGTGGCGTCGGTGCGTCAGGCCTGCGTTTCAGTCAGGGGACTGCGGCCCCGGCGCTGGGCCGGCTGCCCGTGCACGTGGCTTATCGTCTTAAGCCTGCACAGCAGCCTGTGAGGTGCAAGTTGCGTTTATTAAAAGCCCAGAGAGGAATCTGCTCCGGTGGCAGAGCCCACGCGGAATCTCGGGCGTCGGGGCTCCCACTAGGCCTCAAGTGACCCTGCACATGTGCAGCAGCCGGGGCCCTTGGAAATGCACACGCCTTAGCTTAGAGCCCCCCGTTAACATTTGATCACATTTGCTTTTATATTTTTTTCTCTATTTATATGAGAGCTGCAGAGCAACCCTATTTTAAAGTTAGGGAAGCCAGAGTTTAGAGAGGTAAATAATTGCCCAAGGCTCTCAGTCTATACAGGAGGGGGCTGGGATTGGGACCCAGGACCCAGGTCTGTTACCTCCATTAAAAGAAAAAAAGAGGAGTCAAGTTGAATTTGCCTTTACTGAAACAGGAATGGACAAGGGGAATGTCTGAAATGTCAAAAATCCTCCTTCAGAGCAGCTGACCTACGACGCCACGTTCCTCTCTGCAAAAGATCCAAGTCAGAGGCAGTTGGGTGATAAGGTGCCAGGAACAATGGCGCCCAGGTTTCTGGGCCGGAGTGTTTACAAGGCGGGTGAAGCGATGGGGGGCACGGAAGGCAGCCGTGAGAGAAGGGAGGGCAATTGGCAGGAAGGGAACGGATTCAGTGGTTTCTTCTAATCCTATTATCTCCCAGTTTTTGTTCTTTTGATGCTTTGATTCTCTGGAAACCTTGCCTTGTCTCTATCTCCCGTGACCTCTGTCCCTGGTTAGATTCCTGAGGCCTCTTTAGGCGTCTGGAGGTCATCAGTTGCTGAATTCCGGGGCCCAGGCTACCCCCTCCCCCGGGTGGCCTTGCTTCTCTCTCCCGTCCTCGCTGACTGCTGGTCTCATCCCTGCCCAGCCGACAGACATGCTTCTGTGTTCAAACTGTAGACTCAAATGTCCCTCTGGGCATTTCCACCTGGGGATCTCAAAGCCCTTCAAAGCAGCTTGTTCATGACTTTCTCAGCTACCCAATCACCATTTAAGGTCCCTCTTCCCCTTCAGTTTCCCTTCCATCTGCTGTCCTGGCTGAGCAGACACTTGGGAGCCCTCTGGGGCACTCCCCTTGCCTGTGTCACCCCCTAGCCAGTGAGTCCTGGTACTTTTTTTCCCCTTTTGCTCAGTCTTTTCCCTTCATCTCCATTGTCCCTGCCCTGATCCTAGACACATTCTTCCTCCATTGATTCCAGTGATAGTTCTCTAACTGGTCTCCCTGCCTCCACTTGGCTCTCTTCAGTGGATCCCCAGAGGAGACCCATTTGACTCTCAAAATGCAAATCTGGCCTTATCAATGCAAATCAAACCTAGTTACCAGCTCTCTCCCCTGGAAGGGTAAAAGCCCCTCAGTGACCCCCTATTGGGCTTTAGGTATAGACCCAAACCACCAAATGAACAAGGCTCCTGAGGCTGCTGGTCCCTACCCTTTGGGCTCCAGACACTTGCCTCCCATTCACCTGGAGCCTTCAACAGGCTCTTCCCTTTGAGCTCTCCTTTCCCACCCATCACCTCCCAACTCCTTTTTATTCTTGGACCGTGGATCCTTCATATTTTGCTCATCTCTTTCTCAGGACTTTCCCTCTCCCCAGCAGATGGATCCTCCCTTGTGCACGCTCAAAGAACTTACTAAGACATGATATTTTATTGGTATGTGTCTGTCCATTTCATTACCTAGACCATGAGGTCCACAGACGGGGACTGTGTAACAGAAATGGTGCTCAGTTCTGAGAAGGACCCATCTTAATAACCAATTACTTAGCGCCGTTATTGCCATCTAGCGGTGACTGAAGTTATTATACCCTTGGGCCCATTCTCACTGAGGGTCTTTAGTTAGCAAGGTCTCTCACTATGCTCCTGGCACAGAAGGGAATCAATCCATGAGTAAGGAATACCTACGTTAACTTACTTGGTTGGTTAATTCTCTTGACTCTCAGTAAACGTTAACCATGGGTCTAATTCTTTGACCACCCTGGGATTTTTTAATAACCTAATCTTAGCAGCAGTATAGTTATCAGATCTGTACAGTACTCAGAGAGTGACCTGAGAAAGCCCCACTCAAATGAATTTAAGTACAAAGCCTGGACTTTATACATTGTTCTTCTCAGAGGCTGTTCAAGTGCAGGCTTCCTGACAGCATCTAATCCAGAGCAAAGCCCTGCTTCCTTGAATTCTCCCTAAAAGCAACTAACAAACCCAAATCCTACAAGTCCTTTCTAATGTCCTGACATGAAGGCACATGGACTTCATGAATCTCAGTGTCATTTTCCAAACACAAAGAAAAATTTCATCCTCGGTCCTCGAGTGAGGTGGCAGAAGGGGAAGAAGCTCTGAGACGTGGTTATGAATCCTGGCGCCATCACTTTCCAGTGGAGATACTCTGGGCAGCTTGAGGTTTCTCCAGTGTAAAGTGGGACTAATTATGTATGACTATGGGCTTTACAAAGTGCTGATAAGTCAGAAAGCTTTATTCTATATACAGTAAGTGCTCACTTAACATTGTCTATAGTTTCTGCGACTTTAAGCAGGATGATATACGATAGAAAAATCAATTTTCCCAAGGCTAATTGATATAAACAAGAGTTAAGTTCCTACAGCATCTTATCAATGATATAATGAAATGGCGTTGAATGAAATGACCTTATTTGAGGACCTCTTGGGTTGAAACCAAGATCCTGCTGCGTCTGCTCCCACTGCTTATGGTAGGAGAGGGATGTAAGGCGGGTAGAGAAGGGACTGCCCATCTTGGTTTTTTGGCAGGTTTTTGGCCATCCAGTGGCTTTTGATGGCTGCAGTGCAGGTGTCACACCATCCCTGAACTGCACCAGGCATACAACTCAAGAGATTTGCCAGTCTTGATGGAAGGATATGTAAATCTGACTTAATTCACAGCCTCTCTTTAATAGTTCACTTGAAATTGCATCTAATTTAGGCTCATTCATAATTGTCACTGATGTAAATAACTGCAAATGTGGAGGAGCCCACCACAAGGCCTGATAATTACTTCAGGATGAAAACCCAATTGTAGGAACATCACAGTTGCTATGACAACCATGTGAGAAGCCCGGTTGCCCACGGTTACCTATGTTACCAGATGTCACTGGTGCATGAATCTTAGCTCTGAATGAGCCTCAGGAGCATAATGGGGAAAGGCAATGGGAACTGTATGAGTGGGTCTGAATGAAAGAATCCTAGTGCCCTTGGGGATATCTGACATCCCTTTTGTATTCTTAGCCCTGATGGGTTCATGGAGAGTCTATCTCATTACTGTTGTCATCTTGGAGCCAGAGAGTCCTAAATTAACCCCTCCTCTAAAAGGTCTTTCTTTTTCCCTTTCCTTTAAAAATTATTTGTTAAAATTTAGAAATAAGTTATAGAAATATGTGGTTCAGCCTCAAAAATGCAAAAGCTCTTTGGGGAAGTTCTTCTTCCTGTCCTACCCGCCATCTACCCACTTGCTGTCTTGCCCCAAAGGTATTTTGTATGCCTGTTCAAGTTGATACAAGATATATTCCTTTCCTTTTTTTTCACACAAAAGAATATATGACATACACAAAAGAATAATTTATAATACACACTATGCACCTTTCTTTTTTCCTTAATATATCTTGAAATTGTCTTGTATCAACCCATAAAGCGCTTTCTCAGTCTTTTAAAAGTGCAGAGCACTCCCTTATATGGATGTGCCAAATGTGTTCAAACAGTCCCTACTGATGGCCTTTAAGGTTGTTTCAGGACTTTGCTGTCACAAAGGTGGCATTGACTAGCCTTACATTCATGCCGTTTTGCACATGTGAGCTATCTGTAGGATGATTTCTAGATAGAATTACTGGGTATATGGATTTGTCATTTTAAATTGCTGTCCATAGATCTCATATTTATTGTATTCCCCCAGCAATGTATGTGAGGCTGTTTCCCCAACTTTTGGGCTTTTGCCAACCTGATAGGTGAGACATGGTATCTCGCTGGGACTAAACCTGCATTTTTCTTATACGTATTTAATTGTAGTGAACTAGCTTTTCATATGCTTTGCCTATTTTTCTATTGGGTTGTTCGCCTTTTTCTTAGGGGGAGCTCTTAAAATAGTAGGGAGATTAGCACTGTGTGATAGGAGTTTTAAATATTTTTTTCTTCCACTTTGTCATTTATCTTTAAATTTGACAGTATAGCATAATGGATAAGAGCAAAGGCTCTGGAGCCAGACTGTCTACATTCAAATTCCAGCTCTGCCAATAGCTTGTGTGACTTTGGGAATTTGCTTCTCTGTGCTTTATTTTCCTTGTCTCTAAAATGGGCATAATAGTACTAATCTCCTTTGGCTTTTGTGTAGATTAGAAGCTTAATATATTTTAAGTGTTCATAATAATGCTTTATATAGAATATAGTAAATTCTATATTTGATACCTATTAGAGTGGTCTTGGGGGATACATTCTGAGACCCCCGCGGTAGATGCCTGAAATCTTGTATGGTACTCAACTCTACATATACTGTTTGTTTTCCTATACATACATACATACCTATGAGAAATTTTAATTTATAAATTGGGCACAATAAGAGATTAACAATAATAATAAAATAGAATGATTATAATAATATATGTAATAAAAGTTATGTGACTATAGTCTCTTCTCTCTCAAAATATCTCACTGCATGGTACCCACCCTTCTTGTGACGCTGTGAGATGATAGAGGCCTTCATGATGAGATGAAGCCAGGTGAATGACATAGGCACTGTGACCTAGCACTAGACTGCTGTTGACCTTCTGTCGATACATAACAAGCACTTTACCTCCTCTCCTCGATTTCTTTATTCATGGTAGACCCATTAAAAAAAAAAGGATGTGGAAGTGAATTGAGTCAAATTGAATTTCTCTGGGCCTTGGTTCCTCCATCTGTAAAATGGGTGTGGAGAAGCCGAGTGGCCCCTGCCCTTGGTCTGGTGTCCCTTTGCAGGATCTGGTTATCAGAGAGGGATGCTAACTTTGGATGTGGCCTGGCTCTTCCCCAAACTACATTGTCACATCCTCAGCCTCTTTCCTAGTACAGTTTTTTTTCTCCTGTTATAAATGTAATACATGCCCACCAGGTAATTATTGTTGATTGTCTGCCATATATTGAAGCACAATTTTTTCTTCCCTCAACAAGAACATAAATTTCCAAGTTATTTTGTAATAAAATTGGCCATTGCATGATTCCTCATCACAACTCGATTTCAGTGACTCTTTGTAAAAAGTTTAGCTATTGTTAGAAAGTGTTGGGGCAGGACAACATAGATACTGTTTTAAGTTAATCAAATGTGGGAGATTTGTATGTGTTGCAGGGTGAAGCACGGAACAATGGGAAGGAGCAGCTACAGAATAGGAACAGATCAGTATAAGATGCAGGGCCAAGCCTTGCCCAAAGCTCCAGATTCCATCAGATAGGACACAATCCAATGGGATCAGTGAGTTTGGTGCCCAATAGAGGCAGGAAAGACCTTTGAGTCCAGTACCCAAGTAACATGGACAGTTTCTTCAATCCCTCTATCTCTGTAGAGATTCTATGCCTTCTACTCTCCCCTCCCACCCTAGGAGTGGGCTATGGGTGGGATGCATACCACAGTCTCTCATAGTGTTGGTCAACTATAAATTAAAAGAAATGAAATTCTAATGTATATGTCTTCCCTTGCCCAAGTTGAAGCATTACACAAATCCTCTTATACTACAAATTCCCTGTTTCTGAGTTCTTAATTTTGACTTTTCTTTCATTTGGCCTTAGTATGTCTTCAAGTAATTTTTTCTAAAAGCAATGTGCAGGATATGTTTTCCAGTCCTTGGACATCTGAGAATAATTTTCTGTTGCCTTTACACATGGAAAACCTTTTGACTAGATTTTAAAATATTTGATTACAACATTTTTGCTCAAAATGTAATAGACATTGCTTCATGCCTCTTCTTTTTCTGTCTGCTTCTGGTCACTCTATAGTGTCTTCAAACAGCTGTATTTTATAAAAAATTGTGAAATTATCATTGTGCTCATCGAGAGGAATAGACTGATAAAAGTTGTTGTGCTATTACCAAGCTAATATTATTTCTTGGCTGTATTTTTGTAACGTACCTTTTTTTTTTTTTTTTAATGATTTTAGAGAGAGAGGAAAGGGAGAGAGAGAGAGAGAAACATCGACGTGAGGGAGAAACATCCATTGGCTGCCTCCTGTATGAGCCCTGACCAGGGAACATACCCGCAACCCAGATATCTGCCCTGACCGGGAATTGAACCCACAGCCTTTTGGCTATGGGATGACGCTCCATCCAACTGAGACGCTGGGCCAGGGCTATAATATGCTTTCCTGTACCCTTGTCTCCTTCAGCCTAGTCTCAAGCTGGTAGCGAGAGTAATCCTATGAAGTCTAATGATGCTCTTCTTTCCTTACAAGCCACTGGCAGCCCATCTCCCTCAGAATAAAAGCCCACATCCTTGCAGCCATCTGTGTTGCCCTCCAGTGTGCCCACCTCCACTCTTATCTTTTCTCTCTGACATGGTGTCCAGTTATTTTCCATTTTCATCTCTCTGTTCTCGCCAAACTGACCCTCTTCCTAATCTTTGCTTTTGCCTCTGGGCCTTTCCCCCTTCCCTTCTCTCTTCCTGGAACAGGCTTCCCCATCCTATTTAAACTCATAAATTCCTACACCCCTACCTACTCTTACAGTCTCTTTCCATCTCTGCTGATGTACTTGATCTCCATACTGCTCACAACCAACTTGTTAATTGACTGTCTTCCCTCACAAGGAAAGAAGTTTTATGAAGGCAGGAATTTGTGTGTGTTTGCTCACATCTATATTCCAGGCCCTGGAATAGGTGACGCTTAATGAATCAGGGTCCCTTTCTCCCTAGGGACTCATATTGCTCAGCTCCCTAGTACTGAAAACGTATGTCCAGGGCAGTTCCCAGCCATACTCGGAAATGGGTGTATTTTACCTCGGGCTCTTTCTCTTGACTCCCGTAGAGTCTTTCCCATCATTCCTCCCTTGCCGTGCTGATATCCTAGGACACAACACTGCAGAGTCTGGTAACATGTTGGTGAATTAGGGGCCTGTGGGTTTGGGTTATTTTTATCAGAGATACAGCCTCAGGAGAGCATGGCACCTTTTAAACTTGTTACATAAACTACACGATGTTCTAGTGTTAATAGAGTTAATAGGTAGAGATAGAGAAAAGGGGAAGGGGATATTGATGTAATCATTATTTACATAATGCAGTTTTATGAGCCTCCATAAATTATGCTTTGTTGACCTTTAAATTAATTTAGGCTTGATGAGATGGTTTCATTGTTTAAAGATGTAATATAATTATTGTATTATGTTTTTTATTGTTTTCTAAGCTTATTTATGCTTTGTCTCTCATTAAGGCCCAAGTGTATGACCTTCTTATGGAACATTTTTTTAGCTGTTTTCTGGTGTGAGGTTTGCAGAAGCCTGATCTGACTGAAGTATGGCGTTCCTAAATTTCCCAGGACACATTGCAGCTTTTGCGCTAATGAAGGCCTACATTTTCAAAAGAGTTAAACATTGTGATCTGCAAATGGGCTCTTGGGCTCTTTAAAAATGTAGTTTGCAACAGGAATCTTTGTCATCCTGGGCACATAGAGAAAAATTAACCTAGCGTTCAGCCAAGGCTCAGCCTTGGGCCCTCTGGTGTTGGATCTTGAAAATGCACATTAATTTTGAGCATACTGTGTCCGGTGGAGCCTTGAGTCCCCCGAGGATACCTGCAGGGAAGGAGGATGCTGCACAGGCTGGCCTCCAGCCTTTTCACGTCCAGCCACAGAAGCTCCACTGTTTCAAATTTTCTTCAATTTGGGATACTGCTAACCTCTTCCTTGATAATATAGTTAGTTTAGTGCTTCAAAAATAAAGGTTGAAAAACTGTAGTACTAGAGTGTAAGCATATGAAACCTAAGAAAGGGATTGTTCATTTATGTAATCAGATTTTAGGATTTGGGCAGCATTTCAACATATCAATACTTGGGCTAGCCCCAAATAACTAACCTATGGGGAGATTGAATTGAACATCTATATATTTTCATTAAAAAATATACGATAGGAAACAATGTTTGTATGCTTGGGTTTCATGCACTCATAGTCAAGCAGCCAGGTTTGGGAACCATTTGCAGTACTACGTTTATTGCTGATAATCAATGGGTCTTTGATCCCACTGCAGAGAGGCCCTGGTGGAGGCATCCTTGAAAGTAATTCTGATGTTCTGTGCTGTGGCTAATAGTGCAATGTCCTCCTCAATCCTTTACTGACATGGAGAGACATGCAGAACATTCAGCAGTCTGTTGAGAACTCCCTGATGACGCTGCCCAATGCACTTTCATTTCCATCGCCAGTGAGTCAGACCTGTGCAGGCCATGGTCATCTTGTCTGTAAGGGATGGTTGGTCTCCTGATCTCTTTGGTCACTTCCACAAGTTGTCTCTAGGGCCTATTTTCCCCATAATTCCTACCCCTTTCCTAGTGATATTTCTGTGTGTGCATGTAGGGCTCAGCCAACCCTGGAACCTTATAACAGACCCAGGTCCCTGCTCATCCTCTCTTATTAGTGCAGAAGTCAGCTGTGCTTCAAAGAGGACAGTCGGGGGTGGTGGCCAGGCAACAGCTTGCTCCTTTCTGGAACAGTCATTAAGAGCCTCTGGGATCTGCAGGGCCACCAGCTTCACCATATGAACTGAGGAGTCTCATTTTCCTGGCAAAGTTAAGGGACAAGGTCACACAGAGGTCAGTGGGGTTTAGTGACCATCAAGGGCATGGAGGACAGGTAGGCCTTCACTGTGTTGAGTCACTGAGGTTTTAGTGTTATTTGTGATAGCAGTTAGCTTACCCTGACTAGTACATTACCCAACCTCTCTGAACCTTTCCTTTCTTTACAGGAAAGGAAATTATTTTACTTAATTCACAGGTACAGTGAATTAAGTAAGATAACTTAATGTGCATACCTGGCACGTAGTAAGTGCTCACTGGATGTTAGCTATTGTTATTAGTGAATGTGACTGCCGGTTAGAAGAGGGGGCAGGTTTGTGTCTGGGAGGATAGTGGTTTAGGAGTGTAACAGTAGGATTGTCGTTGTCATCATCATCATGAAGATGGCACCCGCCATTTACTGAACACCTGATTGGGCCAGGCTCTGTCTTAGGGTGCATCACATGTACTCATTTCAATCCCCTGAGGCAGGTATCATTAACCTCAATGAGGGCCTAGGAGCCCAGAGTTGCTGCTGAAGCTGTTCAAATCACACAGGCAGCGACACAGGCAGGCTTTACACTCTAGGCTCTCTGACCTTGAAGCCTGACTCCTTTACTTCAGAAATGACACCATGTGTATTTGGGGGAAACGTGATACATATTTAAAGAAAAAAATTTTTTAAAAAATGAGGCCTTCATTTGCTTTGCTTCTCACTAGGTAAGTGTTATGTTTTACTTCTGAGACTTTTTCTACTTCGAGCTGTAAGGATTGCCATTTAAAATTAATCCTTTGACATAGACATTGGCTGCAGATGTGAAAGGCCCAGCTTCCTTTCCTTTCCCAAGGTCCTCTTCTGTTTTGTCTGTACTCCCGCAGGCTCTACGTGGAGTCGGTCAGTGGAAAAAGGGACTGGATTTCCAGAACAATGCCCGAGTCTGAATCCTGCAAGTCTCCCTTCAGCTCAAGGCCTCCTGTGAGTAGAGCAGATATTTTAAAGCCCTTTCAATGACACGCATAACCTGAGGTATAATTTTCCAGAAGCAGCTTCCATTTCTTTATTTCTGTGAGGAGTGAGGAAAGATTTGTTTGCAATTTCATAAGAACAAGAAAGGTTTGATGAAAATGTCTGAGGTGCTGGTGCTTAGAATCCTGATACTAGATTTACTAGACGAACGAGATGATTGATTGCCCTTCACAATTACGGGTAATTTATTCCCTCTTCTTCCCTTTTGAGATAACAGTTTTGGCTTTAGCAACATAAGCCACCCCCATAGAGCAGTAGATCTATAGGCATAGATTCAGTCATTAGCAATATGGGGTGTCGCTGGACTGCATTTACATTTGTATTAACAAGGCAGTTCTCTTTGGAACTGTTTATGTCATGCCCGCTTGCGACGTGTTAAGACAGCAGGTAAAGACTGGCTTTTAACATACTTTACGTGCACTGTTCCTCTTCTGAGTCTGATAAAACTTTAAACACGAAACATATCTTCCTTTTTTATCTCACAGATAGTTTCTCTGTCAAAGGCAGTGCTAAAGGCAAGATGTATAAAACCAACTTTGACACTTCAGGTTATTTTTGGAATATTTATGAATATGTTCAGGAAAAAGCCAAGGCCCCTGGCTGCTAGAACAATGGGTTAAGTTGCTTTTCTTATAGAATATTCTTATTATATTAGTATAGCATTTTGTAGAAATTCTTCTACAGTAAAACTTTGAAAACCGTTTTGTTCTTTAAAAAATAGCCCGGCTGGTGTGTCGCAGTGGTTGAGCGTTGACCCGTGTACCAGGAGGTCACCGGTTAAATTCCCAGTCAGGCCAATTGCCCAGGTTGCAGGCTCGATCCCTGCTGTTTCTCTCTTATTGATGTTTCTCTCTCTCTCTCCCTCTCCCGTCCTCTCTCTCTCAAAATCAATGAAAACATATTTAAAAAAATAAGAATGTTATCAGGCCCTGGCCGAGGAGCTCAGTTGGTTGGAGTGTCGTCCTGTTGTCCAACGCCAGGGTTTCGGGTTTGATATCTGGTCAGGGCACATACAGGAGTCAGCTAGCCAATGCATGAATGAGTGGAACAACAAGTCGATGTTTCTCTCTCTTTCCCTCTTTCTTTCTCTGTAAAATTAAAAACAAAGTTCTTAAAAGAAAATAATGTTTATAAGAGGTAAAAAACAAAACAAAGCCCCAAAATAATGTGGCTGCTTCAAAAGTAACACAAGATGGCGTCAGAGAGCCAAAGTGGAGACGGATTTGTGTCTAGTGGAAAGGATGGCCTTTTCCGTTCTCTGAAGCAGTGCACGCGGGCCCCTATTTCTGCACATCCTCAAAGTACCTTTCATTTTCTGTTATTTTTTTCTTTTTTCAATAGCTATCCTAATGGGAGTGACATGGTCTCTTATTGTGGTTTTGATTTGCATTTCCTTGAACAATTGGTTTTTACTTATTTTTTAAGCCACAGAGTAAATAGCCTGTTGACAGCTTGTACAGCATGACCTGGTGATTAGGGGTTTGGGGTCTAGTGTGTGCAGCCTGAGTGAGAGTCACAGCACTTTCATGTGCTGGCCATGGTGAGTCACAGCCACCCTGAGCCCCCAGTGGGATAACTCCTTCATGTAGGGTGGTTGGAGGAATCCTCAAGGTAGACCTATAAAGCTCTCAGCATAGTTGTTGGCATGCAGCGAATGCTCAAAACTAGTAGCCATGCACAAAGCCCAATGCATAAAGCAGTTTAACCAGGGAGGTGCTTAGGTTGATATGCCAGAGTCTAAGACTGTCATAGGAGTTCACTCAGCTGATAACCCAAGTGTCAGTCAGAACAGACGAGTGTCACCAGCATTACTCTGGGTCCTTGGGAATCATTCAAGGCTCTTGGCCCACACCCATTCTTCCAGAGGGTGACAGACATGCCAGGGTCCTGCCTGTTAGGAAACTCTGATTAGGACACATGGATGATACTCGGACTGTCCATCTGCCCAGCTCAGCTTCCTCTTTGAAAGACTGGTGCCCTTGGGCTTCATAAAGAGGCAAAGTGTCATTGTTACTGAAAACATGGAGCGATGCCTGGAGGAAACCGGTTGTCTTGAACTTCATTAAATGTGTTCTTCCTTGGGGCTGGGTGGAGAGGGGCAAAGGGGGGAGGATGGGGGACATCTGTAATACTGTCAACAATAAATGAAATAAAAGTAAATAAAAAAATGTGTTCATCCTTTGCAATTTGAACCGAGCAAGAAGCATTTTGAAGTAGTGCTACAAGTTCACCGAGAAGCCAGGAAGCTTGGGAGGACAGAGGGGCCAGGGCAGGACGTGGGCCGCTTTTCCTTTCAAGGAGCCGGTGATAACTTTGCAGGATGATTGCTTTTGGATCTTTGGCACGAGATTTGTTTACTGTGCAGGAACAGTCCCTAAAGGAAGAGATAGTATCTGCGCAGGGCAATCAGAGAGCAGCAGAAACAGGCCGGCTCGCTGAGGAGGCTTGAGCTGATGGGGCAGGAACATGGAAGGGAAGGGCCCGGCTGGCCCAGCAGGAAGGGCAGAGGCCGGGGCTGATGATGAGAGCTTGGATGGTACCAGGAACTGCCAGAAGTGGTGAGGCTGCAAAGAAATTCTTCTCGAGGGTGAGCTGCAGTAGAAGGTTCCTCAGCCATTCAGAGGGGCCCAGGAGTGGGCCTGGGAGACCCCTTCTGGGGAGATAGTGTGACCAGCTCTTCTTTCCATTCAGGAAGATGCTCAATCCCACCTTTTCCCTGGGTCAGCTGTTCACCACTCAGCAGAGAACATGAAAAGCATCCATAAAAGAGACTGCAGATTTTGTTGTCCATAAACCTCAAGGATGAATTTTCCTGTCACATTTTTTGAGTATGCTTTTTAAAGCCTTCATAATGCCAGGCTGACCATGGCCAGTATCCACGAACTTCCTCCTAGGTGATGACTGGTGTTACCTCAGCCAGGAGAAGACCTTGGATGATGCCCGAGGCCCTAGCATATGGAACTGATAGAGGGGATTTTTTTTCATGGATGGCAGAGAGAAGATTTTGCTGTCCTTTTTGAACTTTACTTAGTCTATGGATGGGATCCTCTGTGGGCTACTTGAGGGGATCCTGAGTTGGCTCCTGTACAATATCCAAAGACCCTGAAGGTTAGAAAGAACAGATAAAATAAAGATGTGGATTCTTTTGATTTGTTTCATTTTCTTTTGGTTTAATTATTTGAATAGATAACACAGTCACTATGTGGACAAATATGCAACTAAAAGTTACCCCACCTGCCCGGTACCTGTCCCCTCCTCCCACAGGTAAGTACTTTCTAAGACCCTAAGTCTTAGTTCTTAGTCTTAGTCTTTCTAAGTTCTAGTTTCTGATGCATATACAAAGTCAGAGACACATTCCTATGCCCACCTTGTTTTTAAAACTAAAGACAGTATTTTATAATACTGTTTTATATCTTGCTTTTTCCACGTAATGTATTTGGGAGATGTGAATTTTGAAGAAACCCTGTGGAGAGAAGGGAACGAGGTGAACTGAATCAGATTGCTAAGATAGATAAAGCCTTCGGGGTTATTTGCCCAAGTCTGTTAAGTTGCCCTGGCCGGTGTGGCTCAGTGGTTAGAGCGTCGGCCCCTGGATGGAAGGATCTTGGGTTTGATTCTGGCCAAGGGCATGTACCTCGGTTGCAGGCTCGATCCCCGGCCCCGATCAGGGTGAGTATGGGAGGCAATGAATCCATGTCTCTCCCCCCACCTTCCTCTCTCTCTGAAAAGCAATGGAAGAAATATCCTCAGATTAGGATGAAAACAAAACAAAAACCAAGCCTATTAAGTTTACAGATTGGTCACCAAAACCTGAGCACGTTTAAGGCCTTACTCAAGGTTACCCAGTGACCTCTAACACTTAAAAATAATTCTTTAATTTACAAAAGCAGAGCGTCTTTTGTTAAGTGGGGCAGTTAAATGAAACACAAACCTTCATTTGCGGTTAATAATAACCCAAAAATTTCCTACTGCCCTAAATGAAATAAACCTCACTGGGGCATGGGGGCTTTGTTGAAAGAAGCCACACAGCATGGCCTGCTTTCCTGCTGCTTAGCAGGACAGCAGCAATTGTAGCTCGGGGCTCAGGCAGTGCTTTTCTGTGCCTTCTCTGTGCTTGCAATGCTCAAGATCCAGCTTCTGAACTTACCTAGAGTTCACTCCTGCCTTTCCTGAAAGAGGTGAAGAGGCCTCTTTTCCTTTTTCCTTCCCTGACCTGTGGTGGTGAATTCAGGCCAACCATGGAGCAAGGGGCAGAGTTGCAAAAGTGGGGCAGACTAAGCACCATCCACTGCAGGCAAATGATTTCTTCAGGGGCCGTGTCCTCTGCAAGGGCTCATGGCCCCAGACAATGGGCCTCCACTTGCAGGCTTGGAGACCTGGTTCTCCCTCCATTGGCCTTGTTTCCTTGGCGGAGAATGCATGACCTGAAAAGATCTGCTCAGTCGCATTCTGCTCACCTGCCTGGGCCTCAGAGTTGGCTCACGGTTCCCTTTGTCATCATGAACCTTTGTGTTGAAACAGAGGCCTGGCCTTTCCCCGTGTGCGTGGGCAGTCCTTTCTTGATAGATGCCATCCCAGATATGCACAGTGTATGTAAAGCCTCCAGCTCAGGGCCTGGCACACAGAGGTGCCTAGTTGTTTAGTTTGGGTTTCCCCAGAAACAGATCCTGAGACATACTGTAAGGAGCTGGGGAAAATGAGACACGGGCAGGGGGTGTTACAAAGCCAGCTCCCCCCTGGGCAGCTGGAGATTGATCCCTTGGGAAGTGTGGGCTATGATAGAGAATTATCTTACCCAAGGGGTGAGGGAGCTGGGGTATTTTTCCTACAATTGTCAGTGGTTGGTAGAAAGCTGGTGGGCACTGATTCCTCGAGTGCCTGCAGCTCTGAGAGAGCCCCCCAGCACAGATGACACTGGCAGTTGGCAGCCAGCCAGAGCTCGAGTCCAC